TGCTCCAGGATAAAATCAAACATAATAGTTTTTATACACACAACTCTTCAAAAAAACTGTGGCATCATAATCTCACAGTGTTCAGAAAGAAAGCCTTCCGTTTTGTTATACAGATACTCAGGTCAATTCATGTAGACAGAGTATTCAAGCATCTCAAAGTGATCTCTGTGTTTAATCCTCAGAGTATACCTGAAAAACAGGGTCCTTGCAGTCCTGTTTTTTTCAGAAGGAGACCTGAAGCTGAGGATAAATTAACTGACTGGACAATACCCCATGGAAAACCTGTGGGTTATGCTGGGAGTTGAACGGCACAATCTCTTGAAGCCTGTTTGGGTGCCTTACTCACTTGAACACCTTTGGGATGAAAGGAAGCAAGGCCCAGGCCTGCATTTCCTCCCTTCTCTCTATTTTGTGGTTCGTTCTGCTGCTTTGCTCCCTTCCGCACTGAAGTAAGACAAGGTCTGCAGAGTGGTCCTTCTGCATATTGCCGCTGGTATTAACACAAATCACAGCAAGTATTATTCACACGTATAATTACATAGTTTCTGAGTTACACAGTTTTCTGAGCTTATGGCTGTAGAATGCTATTTTCCCCATCATAATTAAGCAGTCAGCATTTCAGAAAGTGAAGCAATTTGCAAGTTCAATTACAGCTGATATTGCACCAGTGAGAGTTTGACTGTGGAACAGAGATGGCAGATGTCAAAGGGACTTTGTATCCTGGATATTAGAGAGTAGATTGTTTGTGATTAACGTCAATGATATTCTGAGGCCAACTGCAGTGAGGACAATCCTCGGTGGACAGTCATCCAAAATTAAATGGCCTCAATTTATTGGTAAGATTTGGTCTCTGTTTTCTTAAGCATATTACAAATTTACCACAGACATTGCCAAGAAAAAATAATTTGTGATCAGTTCTTTCCATTACAGCTGTCACCTTTTATCTTCAGATATATATATTAGAAAGATTTAATGATATGATTAGATATAAAAAGTTAGAGGGGAAAGAAACACACCAGGCAAAAACACAGGGACAAGACAGATTAATTTTTTTTTTTTTGCTCGCACATAATTGCATTAAAATCACCTGAACCCTAGGTCTTTGATGAAACTTTCAAAATAACCAGTGTGCTTTACATACTTAAAATTGTGGAGTTAACTGGCTTGTCTTTTTCGCTCACCATTGCCCTGTTAAATTCGATCTGATGTCACTTATTAGGACAGAGGTAGACCCAAAGCTCGTGTTTGTTGAAATAACCAACTTCAATAACGCTTGGTTCAAGACCTTACTAAATAACCTGAAGTGCAATGCAAAGAAAGACCAGACTCCAGACTGTCCAGTCTTTTAGCTATGCTGGCAAAGCCAGATCGAGAAGAGCAAACACAGGCGTAACCATAACAGAAGCTATGTCAACAGCTACAGTACTCACTGAAGATGCTTTCCTCTGTGGGGTCTGGAGTTTACCAGCATGAGAAATTTATTTTTTTCCCCTTAAAAATCTCTTCTCTAATTTATCTGATTAATTAGAATTTCCCTATGGGGTCCCACAGTAGTGCTTTATTAAGACACTTGAACAGCACAAACATAAAAATGCCTCCTTTTTCCTGGGGTGTCTGGGCTTTTCAAACATCCAACACTTAACTCTCTCCCACAGTGCCCCTGGAAGGCCTTCTGCTACACAGGGCAATGCCGGCCCCGGGCCTGCAGCTCCTCCTCCTCTCCCCTCAGGGCGGCCAGGGCTGGTCCCCACACTTTCCCCCCTCGCTCCTCACACTTTCCCCCCTCACTCCTCGCTGCCGGCGGCATTTTGCCCTTTCTTAAACCCGCTTGCCCCGAGGTGCCACCAGTGTGGGCAAGGGGCTGGGCCCTGCCCTGTGGCGGGGCCGCTGGAGCTGGCCAGAACCAGCTGGAACCGGCGCGGGGCAGCCCGGGCCTCTCCTCACAGAAGCCTCGCAGCCCCGCCGCTGCCACCGACAGCCAATTCAACACGAAAGCAAAAATTAAGGATATTCTCATCAATTGTTCCGTTTTCAACTTCATGCAAATCCACTTCTGCTCACAGGACGAGTGCTGTCTCAGCACATCTCGCCAAGAAGTGACCGCGTAATGTGCCACAGCTGGATGACTTGCAAAGTTTGTCAAAACCACCCAGCTCCTACACAGAACGGAAGATGCTCAGATGCTGTGTTTGATGATTAACGTGGGTATTTATTTTCTTCTCCGGACTCACTAGACTGAAGAAATTTGTGATGAATGTCAGCTGCAAGATATTTCATTGTCAAATCACGCATAAGTGACTGGCTAAAGTTTTGTGCAAGCCAAATAAGTGACAGATCGATTTTAATGCTTCCGTTGTGCAACGGAACAGGTCTGTAAAATAAAAGAGCAAGTACTGAGGAGAAACACAAAAGCATCTTATGTATTCTTAATTACAGACATTCCCAATACCTCAAAATTACAAATGTGTAGCTGAACACTTGTCTATAGATTATATATTATATAAAATTTTATGTAATTCTAAAAACGTATCTGAATTAAAAACTTACAAGAGTTAGAGGCACTGGAAAGCCTGGAAATGCCTTTACATGCCTCTCTCCAAATTTATATGTCTACGTACCTTCCAAAATACGTTCTCCAAATGGAAAGAAAGCTTCTAAAAGAAAGGGACCTTGACTCTTCCACATCTTTTGAACATTTTACACATTACCTTCTAGGTATGAAACGCATGGCAAAGTACCCTCACAGTCAGGACTGCCCGCTTGCCCATGCAAACTCTTATTCACACTATGAAGTTCCCCTGCCGTTGTTTTACAAGACAAATCTAGTCCAAACTCAGACAGAC